GGGGCATTCTATTTTTCAGTAAAACTATAAATTGTCCCTAGTCCATGAAATAGGATGCTGGCATCCTGGCCAGTGGGCCCCAGAGACAGGAGCTGTTGCCTCCAGTTCGCAGGACAGTGATTTCTGGGTGGGGTGGACAGCTGGTTGCTTTTTTTTCCATTTTACTTTATTGGTACATTTTAGATGTACATGTGATAATGTTCATCTTAGGGAATTTGTAGCTGTACGTGATATATCTTGCCTCTTTTTTCTGTTCCCTTCCCCTCCCTTCAGCCCCTCTTCCCCTCCTTACTTAAGAAAGCTGTTTCCATTTTCCTTCTTTTCTTTTCTTGTCCCGAGCCCCACCCCTTTTCCTCTTCTCATTTGAACATTTTCTTTCATTTCTTGATATCTATTATACTTTTTGGTATTTATTTACACTTTTCGTTTCCTCACACCAGAGAAACCATGCGATATTTACACATGTCCGATTTATTTCACTTAAGAGTATGGTCTCAAGGCGCATCCATTTAGCAAGTGATGTCTCGAGCTCATCCTTCTTTATGGCTGAGTGCTACTCTAGTGTATAAAAACGCCACATTTTTTTCCATGGGCATCTGGGCTATTTCCAAGATTTAGCTATTATAAACTGCAGCATGGGTACTCTTGCTTGGTTGGCCTTTTACTTAATTCCTTGGGTACCTGGTCTCCTTTAAGACACTCCCCCCATAACGCCGCGAGTGGCTGCTGAGATGGTACCAGCCGCAGCGAGGAGGGCAGGGACCGGGGCTGGCCGACCCTTGGTCAGGGTGTGCACCAAGTCGAAGAGGGACTTCTGGGATCTGAGCTGGACTGTGCTTGGCCCTTGAAGACCCCTCCTACTCATCCAGTGCCACCATGGAGCATAAGGTTTCCTCAGTGCCATTGAGTTCATTTGAACCCTGAAATAAACTTCTGGACCACTGGCCCATTTTAAGGGTGGATGACAATTCTGAATGGCTGAATGGCTTTTTCTTTTTTCACCTGGCAGAAGGATAAACAACCTTCCATATGCAGGATGAAGAGTAAAGAGGAAGGTCTTTGCAACCCTAGGGGCTGCCATTTCACAGTTCCTCTCAGCCTCCTAAAAGCAGAAAGCAGGGGGAAGGTGGACCGGGGCGGATGAGTTCCTAGGGTGGCCTGGGGTGAAGTCCAGACCTGGCATCAAGACCGAACACATCTTTGTGCTGCGCAATGGCAGCCTGGGTCTTCTCATCTGCCACACCCCACCTGAGGTGAGGGGCTCCCACCTGGGCACAGTGCGTGGGCCACAGCCAGAGGCCTGAACTGCCCAAGACTCTGCCCTCTCCTTGCCTGGCTTCCTTTCTATAAAGGGAGGGAATCAGAGTAGTTTGGAGGTCTCCTTTACTATACAAGCAAGGAACTAGAGTAGTTTTTGTTAGGGCTATTATTTTTATCTCTGAATAGTAAGATTTTTTTGTCTAAGTGGAGTGCTAGAAGCAACTTTTAGGAGGTGAATGGATACTTAATTCTTAGCTCCTCAGTCATTCAGCAAGTATTTAATGGGGTCCCACATGTGTGAGGCACAGAGTCACGGAACTTCTTGTGAGCGCAAGACCATTCAGAGGGACGTCTGTCTCAGACAGCTGGAGTTCCAGGGCTCCAAGGGGACATGGTTCACTGAAGAGCGATGCCAGCATACCGCATGGCCTCACGTTTGTTCGATGAAGGAATCAACACAAGTGCCTGGAGGGAGCTCTTGGGGTGACCTAGACTCAAGCAGTGCCTTGGAGACACGCAAGAGCCTTTCCTCAGAGATGGTGCCAGTGTGGATGCTGGACCCCAGGGAGAGAGGACGAGTGACCAGAGGAAACTCTCACTGTCACTGTGAGATTGGTCCAAACCCAGAGGACCCTTAGAAGTTGTGGAGTCTTACCTTACCTGGACCCTGCTCGAGGCGGGCGGGGCCGAGCTGGGGTGTGTGGCCACCCTCACCGGCCTTTGAACCAGTCAGGAGCTACGTGCCTCTTGCCTGCATGGGTCTGGCTTGGGTTTGAAGGCCATGGAATCTTAGGCCAATCACTTAACTTCTCTGAGCCAGCTCCCTCGGCTGAAGTCTCTCTAGGAGGTCCTGAGGTGTGATGTGTCTCAGGCACCCAAAACCAGTACCTGAACTAACAATAAGCTGGCAATCAGTATCTATTACTGCTATATTACTACAACCCAGGTCTGAAGCAGGGGTTTGGTGACACAGCTTTGAAGGAACTTGAATCATCTTCAGTATTCATGCAGTCAGTAATGAAGCAAGACTCAGTGAATTTAGATTTAGCTCTGGTTTATCTCACCCACTCACCAGCTGTCTGACCTTAGACATATTTTTACCCTTTATAAGACTTGATTATCCCATCTGTAAAATGGGGATAAGTTTTATGCCCAACTTTTCTGTATCCACCTATTAAGCATTTATTGAATGCTTACTATGCGCATAATATACTGGATACTAAGGGCACAAGATTAAGACACAGCCCTGTCCATAAAGGAGCTCACATCCAGGGGAAACATCGTTTAGCATCTTTTCACAGTAGAGTGCTATGTGCTGAGCCTAGCACAACCCTAGCCCTGTCTATGTAAACAAGCAGGACTTCCCGAGGAGGGGACTGAGGGTGCATGGAATGTAACCAAGTAAAAGCAGAAAGGAAGCAGGGATTGCTGGGCATTGGAAGAAGCAAGTGAGAAGGTCAGGAGCGAGTGGGCAGAGCGGACTGCTGGTGTTGCTAGCCGGGTGTACCTTTCTGCAGTGCGACTTTATGAAGGCCGCGGAGGCCGGGAGAGATTTTAAGCGAGAGAATTGGAGTAACACTGAAACATGTGCTTTTTAGACACTATTCCTGTTTCCGTGCCCCGGTGTGAATTTTTATTAGGACAGTTGGAGAGATTGATTCTTCCCTTCTGTCCCTCCTCCTCTCCTGCTCATGCAGTGAGATGTCTCTCATCACATGGAGTGACCCCCTCGAGGGCTTCTCATGCAGTGTTTGGCACACAGCAGGTCTGTGATTATCCTATAACACCCCCCCGCATCCCGCTTGAGTGTAGCTCCTGAAAAGAGGAGTCCCCAGTGCTGAAGTGCAGCTGGGCAGAGGCGTGGGGGTGGGGCAGGTGATACTCGGTGGTGTGGGGTACAGCAGCAGGATGTAGGTCAGGGGAAGTTCCTCGGACAGTTTGGCCCCAACCAGTCATTTGGGGCTTCAGAGAGGGTGAGTGAAGGTCATGGTAGCCCTCATTTCAGGAGCCCACCCCCCCCAGCCTGACCTTGAGCACTTTGTCTAGGTCACCTTCCTTACCTGTGAAATGGGCTTGAGACCACAGCCCAGTGGAGTTGTAAGGGCAACAAGCATAGGCCACGACCAAATATCCCAAGAGAGGACCTTTAGTGCTGCTTGCTGGATCATACCTCATTCTACAAAGCGGGTACCATGGTTGTTCCTTTTTCATAGGTGCCTAGGGTCACCTTCAGGCAAGCATATGTGGACAGAGCTAGAGCCCTGGTGTTTTAGGGGCTATACCATGCATGGCCCCAGTGTCAGAAAGCCACCTGGTGCTCTGGGGCCTCAGTGTGATGCAGGTTCTTACTGCAGACTGGGAAGGCAGATAGAAGAAGCCTCCTAGCTCCACTGTGGGAAGTGGCATGTCGCCTCCTGTGGAAATGACCTGTTACCTGGCTGATTGCGTGGTAGGGCTAGGCAGGGACTCCCAAGGGCAGGGACTGTCCAGGTCACACTGCTATCCCTGGGGCCCAGTGCAGGGACAGGCATATTTTCTGTCCCTTGCCTGGATGTCCTACCTGAGCCCAACCTCTAAAGAGGGAGCAGGGGCTGGTGGGCAAATCTGCCAGGTTGTTGAGCCCAGGTGTGCTGGGGGTCCTGAACAGCATGGCTGTTGGGCAAGCCAGCCACCAGCCTCTGCTGCCTCCATGCCATCTGTCCAGCCTGCTTCCTGGGCCCTGGGCAGAGCATAGGATGCAGAGGTTGGGGTCTCCCAAGACTTAACTGGTGCTCCCGGTTGGCCCCTGGCAGGAGTGGATTGGGGAACTGGGGGACCACTTGGGCCACAGGGTGTCAGGGCTGGGCCTGTGGGGCAGAGGCAACAGCAGCTGGGGGCTCTGGGTCGGTGAGCAGGAGGTGGGGAGACTTCTGCTGCCCACGTGGGTGGTGGTGTGCAGCCGTGGCCCAGTGAATGGGAAGAGGTGTGACACAGACACGGGAGGGACACTGAGGGGACACAGGGACACAGAGGAACAGGGGGACACGGGAGGGTGGGGGAGATGTGGTCGGGGGAACTCGGGGAGGGTCACGGGGGACAGGGGAGGGATGAGAGAGCCCTTGCTGCCTGGCCCTTTCTCCCCAGGGCAGTGTGGGCAGAGGCTTGGACAGTTCGGTTCGGGTGAGGCCAGCTGGCCACCCACAGGCCCACGCTCTTGGGCGAGTGACTGACTTCTGGGTCCAGTTCACAGTGGTCTCCCCTCCCAGACGTGTGTGAAGACACCAGCGTGGGAAAGTGCCAGCATGTGGGAGGTGCACCAGGCGTCAGCGCAGGCTCCCCACCCTGAGGGCGACCTCAGCCCTGCCCATCCTGGATGCCGGGTGCGGGCTATGTGGCTGCTCTGAACTGTCCCCTCCCTTCTGTGCAGAGCCCCACCTTGTGCCCTGGTCCCCGAGTCCCCCAGCAGCTCCTGGGCCCAAAGGAGGGAGGCCAAGTCCTCCTTGTGGTCCCCTGCCGCCAGGCACGGACACACAGCTTCCTGGGTCCGGCAACCTGTAGGAGCCCCTGTCATCCCCAGTCACAGATGGCAGACTTGGTGAATTACAGCGGCTCCATTAAGGTCCCCGGGCAGAAAAAGGCAGAAGGAGAGACCATGCACCTCTTCAGTTCAGACTTCCTCCAAGCCAGTCGTCAAGGAGACCATAAACAGTCCTCAGCAACAGAGAAGTCCACAGGAGCCCAGACAGGCCAGGGAGGGTTGGAGCAGGGCTCAACCACAGGATAAATCACAGGCCAATTTTCTGGGTGACAGCTGAGATAAATTAAACTTTTATTTTTAAATTAAAAACTATCAAATAAATAATGATGGAGGAGAGTGTAAGATGCTCAGAATTGTCTTAGCTGAAAATAGGAATCTTCAAAGAAACCTGGGCTGTTTCCACACCTTTTCCTGGAGCGTACTTTGGGCCTGTGCACACGTGGGTAAGCTGAGGCCAAGGAGGGGTGGCACGTGAGGACGCCTATCTGGGAGTGGGGCCCTCCTGAGCTGGGGCCGCTGCTGGGGCCTGGCCTGGTCTCCGGCCACACCCTGCTAGGCCAGCCAGCGCCCACACCCCCACCCAGCCCAGGATGTGGGTGGAAAATCTTTGTGCAGGTTTCGGTGGGGACTGCAGTCCTCGCCTGGCCTAGTCCCTGAGACCAGTCAGCTTCTCTGGCCTGGATTCAGTCCCCACCTGAGAAAATTACTTAATGGGTCTCAGTTTCTGTATCTGCAAAATGGGGGTTAGCAATACTGACCTCATGTAATTGTTTTGAGGTGAATGTGTGCCAGTCTTTAAGGACCTGGACATTTAGAGAACTAATTAAATGTGTGTTTTACTGTTCTTGTTGGGCAGGCCTGAATAGGGATCTCAAGTTGGCCAATTAGGAAATCGATGCCCGAGGCAGGCACATGTTCTTGTTTCTAGGTGGGAGGAAAGGGCCACATCTCAGGGCGAGGAGAGCTGGGGTGCCAGCATCAGGCAAGGCCACTGTGATGATGTCTGCAGCTTTTAAACTACTCACCAGCACTGTCTTAAGCACTTTACACCTATTAGCTCACTTATTCTGCAATTGCAGTATGAGAGAGGTCTCACCGATGTCCCTGTCACAGGAAGGAGGCTGAGGAATCAGGAGACTGAGGTTCCTACATGGAGTCCCAGCATATAGAGTGGAATGTTCTACACTCCACAGGTGTGTGGGGCTCCATGCCAGGCTGTGGGGACAGAGTTAGCACTCACTGTGCCTGGCCCTCATCAGCCCAGGCAGGCTCCTCTCAGGCCAGGGGCGTTCTCTCCATGCACTTCCATTGTGTTTCACATAACCAGGGTCCTCACACACAGTGGATACCCAGCACTGCTAGTGTCTCTGCCCTCCAAGCGACTCCTCCATGCTCCACATGACAGCTTGAAAATGACCAAACAGCACAGGAAGAGACACATGCAAGAGCCTTTCCCCAGAGCACCGGTGTGTAGTAGGTGTTTTGCACATCTGAGCTCCTCCTCCCTGGACGTGGTGATCTTTTGCTTAAACAGACTGAAGCTGCACGCGCCCAAGGTTTGGACCTTTTAATACAAATAACAGCTTCTGTCTTTAAGAATTATTGTCTTCTGGGGTTCCCAGAACTGAAGGCAAATTCACTGTATTTATCACTTAATCATTTCAGAAATAGTTTATGACTGTAGTATCAAAGGCCCAGGATCCTTCCTCTCCTCCATTCCCTCTTTGGGGTCCTGTGATAATTCTTGCTATAAGTGGTAGCAGTATTAGATACGGACTGTAGGTCCTCCTGCCGTGTGAGAGTAAGCTGTTGTCGCTTTCATTGCTCCAATGTTATGATCATTTCAAGTTTGGCTCCTGCGTTTGAGCCTTAAGTTAAATGTGGAAAAGAAGAAGAGGAAAAACATAACGGTTGGAAACAAAAATGTGCATTGTGTATATTTCCAAAGCAATTTTAGAAAGTTTCAAATTTTAAAAGACCTTAAATCTGGTGGGTTCTAGGCAACAAATCCCCAGATTCCCAGTGTTCATCATGGCTGTGTCCTGAAGGTCAAAACAGCCTCGAGGAAATTCGGTGAACTTCACCCCCTGCCAAGCACTCAATGGTTAGTGCTTCCTTGCACAGGAGGTAGACAGGCTGTGGAGAGGGCCAGCCCCCGGGGACTCAGAGGACACCTTTACAACCAGGATGAGGCTGCAGAGGACACATGGTTAGGCTCAGCTGACACCTGCTGCATACCAGCTGCTTTCGGGCCCATTATTTGAAATCCCTCACAGTCGGTGTGTAAAGGAAATAGCGCCTTAGACAAGAAGGAGGTGGTACTCAGAAGCTTTGAAACTCTCTCCAGGAGAATGGAAGCTGTGTGCAACTCCAGTTCCTGGGTCTGACTTATTGCACCTCTTCATTTTCCCTGCACCCCTGGAGGAGCTAGAGACCAGACTCAGGATTCTATGATCACCTTAGTGGAGGCTTCTCTGCCTCTTTTGTGATCCTACATAAACAAAAACCTCACACCCTCTTTTAATGAGTTTCAAGTTCAACATAAACATCATTATTCAAAGCAAATCAAAGCAAGGATGCATTTTTCAGTATTTTCTCTTTAAACAAATAAAGACTCCCAGGGCTTTGGGTCCTGTCCGTGCCCCCATTAGCACCTGGACATGTGCCAGGATCTGTTTCCAGGAGGCTGAACCCAGCAAGGACACAGCCAGCTCTTGAGCTCAGGTCTGTCTGACTCGGGGCTGATCGTCTGGATACCTGCTCACTCCTCAGCCTGGTCTTCAGTCACACGCCAGCTCCAGGCTACACTTCTGATGGACCACGTCAGCCAGCCAGGCCTTTGGACAGCCTGCTTGTCAGCCTAGAGTCCCCTGACTCCATCCTTGTGGAGCCTGGTGAGTCCCTGTTCATCAAGAGTTAGCTGAAGTATGACTTCCTCCAGCAAGACCTTCTGAACCTCTACCTGCCTCAAATGAAGGGAACTGTTTCCTTTTTCTTTTTTTTTTGCGGTACCAGGAATTGAACTCACGACCTCACACTTGCCAGGCAGGCACTGTGCTGCTGAGCTATATCCCCGGCCCCAAAATCCCAGGCTGAACTACACAGTGAGGCCCTATTTTATTTTATTTTATTTTTTTGGGTACTGAGAATTGAACTCAGGACCTTGTGCTTGCCAGGCAGGCACTTGTGCCGCTGAGCTCTATTCCCTGCCCCCGGAACTGGTTCCTTTTGCATGTTCGGCCATGTAGACTCAGCTGCTGACATTTGCTAGCACTTTAACGTTGTTTACCAGTCTGTCTCCCTTAATCAGCTACAACATCTCTACACACATGCACACACTTGCGCACACACACATATGCACACACATGTGCACACACACACAGGCATATGCACAATGCCATTGTCAGATATTGTAATGATGCTGAGTCTGTATCTAGGTTGCAACCTCTCAGGGCCCACTGTCTTCTGTCTGACCAATAGGGATCCACTTCAGGGTTTGGGATAGTTTCTTAACCTGCAGCTAACACAGATGCTCTCTCATGGGATTGTAGCTACAGATCTCCCAGTTTCTAAGCATTTGGAAACTGGGAGATCTCTCCCTGAAATTACTTTATTTCATAAACAAGAAGCTGAAGAAGGTAAGTTTGATTTCTTCCTTCTTTGTTCATGGTATCTCTGGTGGCTGCCATCTGCTAGGTGCTATCTTAGGGGTCATGAATACAGCAGTTAACTAGTCAGTGTTTTCTCTCATGGAGGTTACTTCCTCCTGGAGGAAAAAGAGATTAAGTAAAGAATAAATATGGCACTTCAGGCAGTAAGGAACGCTATGAAGAGATGTGGAGGCCAAACAAAGGCAAGTGTGGTGAGGGATGGGCACATGTTGTAGACTGAAGTGCGGAAAGACACTTTGAACAAGTGGTATTTGGCAGAGCCCTGGACACAGTGTGGAGGAAGCCAGAGGAAGAGCAGGAGGAAGCGTTTTCCAAGCAGGTGGAGAGGCAAGGGCCAGACCCGACGGGGAAGGTGCTGGGCATGTGAGAGGACAACAGGAGGGCTGTGGTAATTGTGTGGGGGTGGCAGGGCTGGGCCCTAGATTATTCTCCTCCAAAGCTCCTGGGGTCAAGGATGATCTAGTAGATGGGCTAAGACCAGCCATGGCAGCTTGTTCTAAGTTCAATCCACTGTGAATGAATGAGTGATTGAATGAATGGGGCAAGGACTACCAGGGAAAAGTTGAGCAGGATACCTTGTCCCATTTTCATTGCTTTTATTTGCACCAAAATGAAGGCTTATGGAAGGAAACAAAAGAACAATATCTTTAAAACAGTACAATATAATCTTTAAAACAATGTAATCTTTCTCCTTTCTTTCTTTTTCTTTCTTTCTTTCTTTCTTTCTTTCTTTCTTTCTTTCTTTCTTTCTTTCTTTCTTTCTTTCTTTCTTTCTTTCTTTTCCAGTGCTGAGGATGGAACCTAGGGCCATGGACATGGTAGGCAATAGTTCTACCGCTGAGCTCCATCCCCAGCCCTAAAATGAATTTCAGTGGTCACAACAGGAGAAAGTCAGAGTGAGTTTCTGAAATGTAAAATAGGAGGCATTTTACTACCTCTTCCTTAAAATAAACTGGCCAAATCCTTCCCAAGTTTGTTTTCCCAGAAATGTAAAAGTTATTTGCACTGACAGGGGGTGGTATGAAAGGCAGAGGGTAGCTTCACCTTGACGGTGGTGGGGCCTTAGCAGTGCCTTGGCACTTAACAGCACCCCAAGGCCCCAGGATAGCTGCTAGTACTGACCATGGAGGCCTGCCAGAGCGCCTCCCTCAAAGAGCGGGAAGGAGTCCTCCAGAAGTGGGTGGAGCCCAACTTCATCTGACACAATCAGGCAGAATGAAAGGGGATGACCTGGAAGTGCTCCTGCCTCAGGCCGCCCCATGCAGGTAGAACTCACTGTACTGTGGGACAAGAGGACACACACAGGTAGGAGGTAGCCAGGGGCCTGGGCCGCCAGAACATACTTGCAGCCTCTTGGCTTTGAGAGTGATAAATACATGCTTCTTCAAAAGCCCGGCCGCTCTGCCTTCTTTCTCACCTCCTTGCAAAGCTGGGTGACCTTCAGTGTGCTCCTTAACCTCTTTGAGCCTCATTTCTCCCCTGGAATACTTAACAGTTCCCAGGCCTAGACATCTCCCCAACTCTGCCCTGTCTTTTTGAGCTCTGACTTACACCTTACAATGTCCCAAAGCAGCGACAATGACAGCTTCTGCTTTGTAGCACCCAGACCAGCTCTGGACAAAGCACAGTTGGCATTCTTAGAAGTCATCTAGCCTTTACTTTGCTTGTTTAATCCTCATCATTATAGGATCTTAGTGTGGAAACCTGGAAATTCATTTGCAGTGCAGCAGTTTTATAGCTTGGTTTAGAATTGGCAGAGAATCTCAAGGCAG